ATGAAGATTCATGTCAAAAGGGAACTAGGGATGAAACATCATAGGCAGGTCACTGCTGTGCGTGAGTGGGGAAAAGCGGTTGGGAACTCTGTTTGCCAGGCACACCCGCAGAAAGCCTCTGCCTCTCCCCATCACACATGGCAAGGTGAGACACAGATAATATAAGCTCCTTTCACCTTTCAAAAGAACTCTGTGACAACTTTTTTAGCCAGCTTATGCGCCAGTCCTTGTACTTGTACGGATTGCTTTTCTAATGAAGCAAGAAAGGTCAAAACAAATTAATAGCCAAGATAACAGTTATCAGGCTGATATAAATAAAGCAGCTTATAACGTTTGCAGTACACCACAATCTGCAACAGATAAAGGAGTCTGAAGCCAAAGGAGGGTTTAAAAAGAAGTTGATATTGGGAATATAAGTTCTCTTTTTAAGCAGGTAACTGGGCCACAGTTGCTGTTTGTAGTTGTCGCTGCTGAAGCCAGTATTGCCACTGAAGCCTAGAGTAAAGGCATCATTCACCCAGCACGGCTCAGCCTCCCCCATTCGATAGCTCAGACGTGACCCACAAGCCTACGTGCATGTCCTGACAGAACTGGGACCACGTTTTAATCCCGTAAGAGATACCACGGTGTCAGTAACCACCGGGTAAGAGGTGCACTACAAAGATCTCCCTTACCCACACTGTCGCTTTCCTGTTCTTCCCAGGACCCTTCTTCACCTTAACCCTGCAGACAGCTACATCACCGCTTGTTGGCCTTCCCCACTCTCCAGATGCTTAGATTCCTGTTTTGGGGGTGTCTCAACATGTCAAAGCGGCTCCTGCCTTATGTGGCTGTGACCACAAAACAGTTTTACTAGTTCTGCGTGAACGCCCTTGGGAACCTGTTGCAGCAAGGTGCAGACCATGTGTGCAGTAAGCTACCTGCCCCCAGGCCCAGCCCCCCCAAGCCTCTTCAGAGGTGCCTCTGGAGCTCGGCTGTGAAGAAGCTGAAGGCAAGAGCCGAACCACTGGGAGGAGTGAGTTTCAGATACAGCCCGTCCTGCTGCTTAGCTGCTATCCCAGGAGGTTGGTTTTCATACTAATAATTTTCAGCATCCTATTTCACCTCCATGAATGTCAGATGTGTCTTAGGAGCTAAACTTTGCATGCCAAGCGAGGAACCAGACAACCAGACATGTAACTGCTGTGAGACCCGACCTCCATGGCTGAAGCTCCTCACGGAAACGCAGTCTCACAAGCCACGCTTCAGTGAAAGGACTCTGAGGTGTCCCTTTCTATCACTTTGCAAAACTCCAGCTCTCTGCTAGTCACATGAGTTTTAAAACCATGTGGCAAAACCAGTGATGTACATATACCAGCAGAATTTTTGCTCTAATTCGATTCCATAAAGATATTAAATCTCTTTCGCAATCACCTCTCTTCACTGACTAGTATTTTTCCACAGTAAATCGTTCCTTCTCAGTTGCACACACTTCTAGACTCCTCTTAGATGTGTTCTATTGGCTGGATTGGGTTTTTTCCTTATATTTCAGTTCTGAGCTTTAGGATCATTCAATGTTTCCAGAGACCACACGATGCCTTTTTTTTTTTAACAGATAATTTATTTGCAACAGTAGTGTGAGATACAGTAGAAATCAAGTGGGAACCAGATAATCATGTATTATTTTATAGTGTATTTTTTCAGTAGATTATTCCAAATGTTACATACCAAAATTTTAAGTCCTATAACATTAGTTCTGATACCATGGTGACTAAGCAGTCTTGTGGAAAAATCCATGCACATAGTTTGCTTTAACTCATTTGTCTAAATTACAGACTGCAACAGTATGGTTTAGATCATGTAAGTGGGTAACAAATAGTTTGGTCTATATTTGCATCTTGTCTATGTAGTAAGTCCTTGAGCAACTCAGATACACACAGGCTGGTTTGAGATACAAAACATTGTGCATGGTGTTTTCATCTCTCACCTTGGAAAGAAAGGTTCACAATGTAAAACCTCACATATTTTAATTAGATTAAAAATATTGGATGGTGTATAATATCCTGAATGCGTTGCACAGATTGCAGATAATATGTTGCAGAGCACAGCAGCAACTGTTCTGCCACAAAGCACTAGAAAGGTGGAAATTTGAAGGGCATCTAGATTTCTAAGCAGAAACTGTGGCAATCAATAATCAGAAATAAAAACACATTTTGAAAAACTCATATGCAAACACACCTGACAAGCCTCAACACTGCATGAGATGAGTCTTGCTCCGGCTTCCACTGAATGAATGAAAGATACAGCTCCCAAATACTTCAACAGGAGAAGGGTTATGGTGACAACTCGGATACTGCAGGGTTCCTTGTTTCTTTTTTATTTTATTTTTTTCCCCCTGAGAATAGTTAGAATTTGTCTGATAAACTCCCCAGAGTTCACGTAAGCACCCTTAGCTTCCATCCTTCCTTTTCTGAAATCCAGGGATTAAATATCTTGAAGGTGTTCGTTAAAGTGCAAATACAGCATTAGAAACGATCGTGCCATCATGGAGGAGAGAGACTCACCCACGGGTTTTTTTAGGATGCCAGGATGACGACACGCCTGGCAGACTGCTGGGGTATCCATCCACCACCATAAACAAAAGACATTTACGGTGTCCCACCCCAACCAATAAATTCTTTGAGAGGACACCAAGTTACGTTTTGAGGTGCAGTTTAGAGCTGAAGTCCCAAACAGTACTACAGTACACGTTTTTAAATCACATTAAGGCAAAAGTATTTCCAATTCATAAGAAGGTCATGCTGGTCTATTATTTAACCAAATGTGACTATTGTACAGCGATGACACCACTGCAAAACAACTAGAGAAGCTCATAGGCCTGCAGGTCAAAGCTAAGCCGAGTCCTAAGGGGTGCTGAAGAGTGACGTTTCCCTACACGAATGATGATCTCTTGCAGAGGGGCAGAACCATCTGTGGTGACGGCCACTCCTAAGGAGTTACTTTAGGGTGGGTCATAAACCTTCACCGCATCTCCTTCCAGAATTAAGTATCTTGCTGAAAGACTCTGATTTTGGAAACAACAGAGGGATGTGCATTAGAGAAGCCACCAGGCCCCAGAAAAATTCAGGATCATTTCCACTGCAGTCAGACTCCTCCACGAGTCTCGTTCTGTGGGAGCAGGAGCAGACCCACTGACGTCCAACGCATGGCAACACCCTTTACTGCCTAGTGGTCTCTATTTTAGCTTCCCCGTCCAGGAGCCTCAGTATCTTATCTCCAATACTCTGAGTGAGGAGGTCTCCTGGGGCTGGTTCTGAGGGTTTGCCACACTTCATTAATACAGACTGTTTAAAGGAAAAAAAAATAAAGCCCTCCTCACTGAAGTGGCTGGCACTATGCTCGTGTTATGCTCACCTCAGCAGCAGAATGAGGTTGGCTGAGGAAAATATGCACCCAGCCATTTGTGTAAAGGACCCTTAAGCATAAAGTAAATCACAGCTTCTTATTTAAATAACACAGTACCATGCAAAATTCACAAATTTAGAGCTTATAAGGAGTGTCTTTAAATAAAAAAATGCAAACCTTTGCTTAAAAATCCACCAGTGCTAGGTGTATTACTCTTTACTTTACCTGTTTAAGCCATGCAAAAGGTTTAATCAAAGTGTCCCTTTAACAAACACAGCATTTGAAGGGAAAAAAAAAAAAGGAAAAAAAAAGGAAAACCAGAACAAAAGCCTAGGGGAAAAAAAAAACAACACAAGTTTTGATCTTCCTCATCAATCCTATTTATCATGGTATTTACCCACTGAGCAGAGGTATGCAGGGGTCTAAACAGCACATCTGTACCGCCCTTCCCCAGGGGACTGAGTCCTTACTGTGGGAAATAGCTCTTCTCTGCGATGTGACATTGTCCCTGGCAGGTCCCTGTCCCTCCAGGCTCATGCCCTCAAACCGGGCCGCTGTCACTGCGTCGGGGCACAGCTAAGGACGAGCTCCAGCTGGTTTACCGGACCCGACGGTCAGCCGCTGCCGCGGTGCTGCACCAGGTACGTGATGGGGAGCGTGTCTGGCCGGAGGGAGCCGCGGCGGGAGCTGGGCTGTCGCTGCGTCACCCACGGAAGCCCCGTCCTGCGCCCGGGTGTGCCACGTGCTGGGTCTGGGGGGTGTGGGGAGACATCGTGGTCCAACTGCAAATGCGTGGAGGAGTCATGAATCTCATGCTCCATGCAGGGAGCTTGAGCCACGTTCTAGCAGGTGTAGGACAAGAAAAGCACGAAGCTAAGAAAATGAGGATGGCAGGACATGCTGGGACTACACGGTGCTGTGAGCTGGGGTAGTAGAATTGCCTTTGGATCACAGAGCACAGATTTCATTGCAGCAGTGGTTTATTATCTCATTAGAAACATCTAATTCCCTGTAATAAAGATTGCATGTAGAGTATGTCAAAGAGCAGACAAGGCTATTACAGCCCACAGTCAGGACTAATGCTTTTTTCCCTCCTCTTATTGCTAAATAGGCAGGAGTAGCTTTTCAATTTAAAAATAAAAACTATACAATTACAGTAATAATACCATGCTCCTGACTGCTCTGCAGCTGCATATTGTAAAACTCCAAGCCACTGATCAGAAACAAAAGCAGTAAGTCAGTAACAGCTTTACAGAAACGTTCTGCTGGGGTGATTCTGTCTTTCAAAACACTTTTATAAGGGAAAGACTGATTACTGAAGATATTTAATGTCCCTTTCCCCCTAAAAAACCCTGAAAGTGCTTGCATCTTTTCCTGACAACAGATGAAGAAACCTTTGCCAGAGGTGTAATTAAGACTATATGAACACTGGAACAAGTATGGATCCCATTCAAATAGTTAGGCATCAGTTACAACAAAAAGCCAGAAGTAGTCATATTTTTATCACCTGTTATAAAAAAATATTACCCAATCAGTGTTTCAATATAGTTAAAAGTTAAAAACCCTCTACATCACTAATAAATTAAAAAACCCATCTCTCCAACTGTCTTGTAAGAAAGTAGGTAAGTAATTTAAACCTTTAGTTTACATAAATTAGCACAGAAATGTGTATTTGAACAAGTGCACTGAAAACAGATATGCCTTCTTTTCTTCTGGTATCTCGTATTTGAGTTATTAAGTAACAGGAAAGCCTTTACATTCCTCGCGTGACCTTGAGAGTCTGCTAACGCCAAATGGTCCATAGTCAAAGCCCAGGAGAACGGCTCACCCACTAGACAACGGCAAGAGGGAGCATGAAGTACAGCCAAATGCTTTGCAGCCCTATTACAGCAGACTTCAACAGTCAGTTTCAGCAGATTTACTTTCAGGAAGGGCTGAAGGTTATACATTTATACAGCAAATCACATAAGTAAATTTGATGGGTCGATAGGATTTTTATTTTTTTTAAAAAAACCTATTAAAGTATCATTTTTTCAGAGGTAGTTTGCAAGGCAATAGTGATGTACGCGAGCGGAAACAATGCTCCTTTGCTTGACTGTGGATAAAACCCTTAAATACTGCTGGTGCTGTCCCTGGACCTCGCAGAGAACACTTAATGGATAAGAGGTTCTAATCAGAGCTGACAACAGCCAATTAAGTGTCAGAAGAACAATCTGATAAGTAGGTCTTCATGTCTATAGGCATTTCCTGATACGTCTTAACTGTCAATCTGAATGTTAAACATCTCTATCTCATTATTGACTGATTTATTAAAGGAGAATTGCTTTCATCGCTTTTTCTTTTTTTTTTAACTTTGGGGTTGCTCCAGAAAGAAGGAAAGGAAAATACTAGGAACAGCTCTTAATTTGGAATAATAGATGGGGAATCCTAATTATAGCAAAGTCCTAATCTTCCAGCTGAGCAGGCACGCGGTTTGGTGACACCACTACCACGCAGCTGCCCGCACCATACCTTTTAAGAAGTGGTAGACGCTGAGTCTAGAGGAGATCTGTTTCTTTAATAGGTGGAAGGATATCTGTGGACATGCTAGCAGACTGCTCTCTGCTTTCAGTGCTTCTTGCTAGTCATACAGAAGACAACACCTCACTGGATGGATCTCTTCCCTTCTTGTCCTCACCCCTGTCGATATCAATCACATGAACTATGCCAGGCTTCAGGATCAGGTCATCGGTCTCCACGTGGCTCCTGTGATCGTCCACCTCGGTGTACTTCCCCTTGGAGGGCTGGGTAGCCTTACCGAAGACATCTTTAAAACGGCGCTTGAGTTCAACGTCTGGGCAATAGACGTACTCATAGAGAGCACCAGCAAGGACGGCTCCTATTATGGGTCCTGCCCAATAGACCTGCAAAAAGAGGTGGAAAAAAGACAGGCATTAAGCTCTACAGCAAATAAAGAAGCCAAGGTATTAGAGAAAAGCACGGCGCCACAGACTTCACCCAGAAAAGCTTCTGCAAAACGCCCTGGCCCAACTGTCAAAACCAGCTCTCCAGAAACGCACGGTCACAGAGTTCCCTGGCTTTCATGAACTGGGATGAAATCTTCCATCATCCCTCAGTTTGTGAGGCAGAAACCACAACAGGTTTCACAGATGGTGACCTGAAGCTCAGCAATTAAGTGGCTGCTCTGAAATCACACATGAAGTTGGTCAAAAGGCAGTCTCATAGGCAGTTAATGGCATTAGTCCTAGGTCAATTATTTTTTCTTCCTGCTTCCTCCCAGTCTCAATCTCTCACACCTATTTCACCCCCTTCAGAAACACTCCCTAACCACCTCGAATCCAGTCATCTAAACCACCTCACATCCGTGGGTGCGGCTCTTCCCTAAAAACTCTCCTCGTGGCAGCATTCAGGGAATCACCAGGCAGCGCAGCCCACGAAGAAGAGGAGAGGCCTATGCTGATACAGTCAGTGAGGCACAGTCCCTACGTCCCCAATGCCTGAAAAAGATTTCAGTCTACCTGTCTGGTTAGCAATGTCCTGGGGTAGACTGGCTGAGTGGCAGCGAAGCTACGGACACCTCCTGTGGACAAACACGCAGGCATCGTCTCTAGCTGCCCTGCCTTCTGTCGATAAAAAGCAGCTTTTTTCCCCTCTTTATAGGAGATTTAACTTATTTTTTTAAATCGTTGTCCAATAAGGCAAAAGTACAGGTTCTTCATCGTCCTTATTTGGATCAACCATAGCTTTAACATTTCTTGAGTCAAAAAAGGCCACAGACCCTGGTGGAGCCATGTATGACTTGTCAAATACAGCTCTGTAGTCACACACAACACATAGTTGCTTTGGCATAGCTTTACTTTTAAACTAGCAGGGGTAAGATGACTGAGAAGCAGGCCCACATCTTCAAAGAGAAATAGTTTTGCCAAGTTTTCTTGATCCACCTCTTTCCAAGAGGCCTCCTCTAAATTTTCGTCACTCACTGCCAGCTGCAGACAACACAGATGGACTGTTTGCAAGATGAGACGCAAAATAAACCTCAGTGTAGAAAAATTATTTTCTTTCTTCCTTTTCACCCAAGGTGGCAACGGACTTTTAAGGAAACAAAACCTTTCCTAGTGTATGCACAAACAGTTCTCCTTCAGTATTTCAGACTCACATTTCCAAAATAATTGAAGCTTGGCTTCTGATCCCACAGAATCCGACAGGCAGTCAGCTATCTGGTTATCTAATTTGAATAAGCAAATACAACCGACATAGACATCTTTGCAGGGTGCCTATCTATTTCAGCATGACCTGCAGCAGTTCTGTAACATTAGTAGGTGCAGAAGACCACGGCCTTCTGTCAATGGCATGCCAATGTCACTGCTCTGGAGGAGGAGAAAAGACCATCTTTCCAAGTGACCAGGACAGTAGCTAAGCTTCTCCTACCAGTTTCTCCATGGTACACTTATTTATTGTTTATAGCTTTAGTTATAAATTACAGGCTCCCTCAGAGTACGGATAATTAATCTTGTGAAGAACTACAGTAGTTTTTCATATGAACAAGCCCTTCACTGATAACTGGGTAAATCTGCCTCAATAGGATAACTCTTGGGAACAAAGTTACACATGGTATCGTGTTTGCAGAATTGGAGCCTTAGGGCCCGAAGACAATGCTATTTCTGTTACTAGCTGCAGTGGGAGCAATGTGGGCTTCACACTTTAAAAATCAAGAAAATCCTTATACGCACTGTAATATGCAGCTCTTACAGTTAGCATGGAAAGTGTCCCTAGAAGTGCTTTCCCTGTCTTTAATTAGGTGAGGCTGAGCTGCAATCCACCTCTCCCCTATGAAACGTGAATTGTTTTCCGCTAACTTTAAGAGTGGGATGCTATAGAAAGTGACTGCATCAGTCACAATCTGTTTATCAAATGGTTTCCTGGGCAAACACTCCCCTTTAAGCTGACGCTTTCAAATGGAAGTAGGTAACAGCTGGTCTGGTCTGCAGACCAGACTGCAACCCCTTCATCTCTCACTGCGGGCGTTCGCCGAGGCAGGTTCTCCCCTGGGAACCGGATCACAGAGGGTCCCTGCTCTCATGTAGTCCGTCTGCCCCAGTTTGCTGCGGAACCAGGTGAAACGCGGAGCCGGCGGAATGACTTCCATAACGTCTCGCCAGCCTGACCGGGGGATTTGCAATCTGCCTTGGAGGATTTTTCTGGCTAACAGTTCAATTCTCTCAGTCTCACTGGATTGCTCTTTCAGTTTTGAACTTTTTGTGTCATTTCCTTTCATACCCCAGCTACCACCTCCACCAAACGGCCCCCGCACAGCAAGGCGCTATCCCAACGCGCCGCGTGCTGCACCGCAGTCCGGGGTGAGGAGCATAATTACACCCAAGCCTGGGGCACGTCAGGGCCTGCCTTCCTCAGCGATGGTCTATGTGGGACCTACTGGGACAGACGACCAAAACCAAATGATGTCTGAAAAATCCCGATCGCTGTTTGCTGCCGTGGCGAAGTTTGCGTGAAAGCAGAGTTACCCATTGGTTTTCCCATCTCCCCATGATGACAGCAGGTCCGAACGAGCGGGCAGGGTTCATGCTGGCACCGGTGTAATTGATCTAAAGCAGAGACAAAATGTTACCTGTTATTAAAGCCTTGAAGACAGTTATTTCTGCTAGTCCTTGTGCTGTGGGGACACCCTGGTTTTGCATCCCTTCCGATCTTAACAGCGAGTATGGTCACTCTCCTGAGCCTTGCCACAAAATTAGCAAAGTCATCATATAAACCGGCAGAAAACCTCTGATGCAACACCCTACCCAAGGGCACCCTCTTGCTACTCCAAAGGGTTTTGGTGCGGGTCCATAACGAATACAGCACCTACAGCTACGGCAGCTACAAAGGCCACAGAAGTTTCCGTTTACTTCTGAAGTAGTCATAAAGGGGCAAGGGGTCTGATTTTTAAAGAGAAGCCGTTAACTTACAGCAAATAAATGTCCGATTGCAACAGAAAATCCAATTGCTAAAGCTACTGAACCAGTGACATCATTTCGCTTTGAATCACAGCTGGCAAAAATAGTAAAAACCAGCTGGAATGTAATTATCAGCTCCACCAGGAGTCCATGGCCAGCGGAAAGATCCCTGTGTACCTGGAAAAAGGGAAAGAAACACCGGAGATGAAACAAAGGTGATTTTGTAAACCAGAACGCCACCGCATACAATAACATAAATTTCAATGGAAGGCATTTCTAAATGGTACACAGTGAAAGACAACAACGACATTTAGAGGTACAGGTTCCTCACTCACTTTTCTGCCTTTTTTTACATTTTTTTATTTTATTTTGAGAGCCACGGAAAATTACTGCTGGGCTGAGAACAGAAGGCTTAACAGTAACGTCCAACAAGAACTTCAAAGTTAGACTGCAGAAGTACAGTTTATTTTTACACAGGGATTTGCAAATGCTGCACTTCCCCTTCACCATTTTTTTCTTGGGAGCACTGTAATTTACTATTCAATTATAAATTCATTAATTAGCCCTGACTTAATTAATTTAAATTTCAATTAAAAATTAAGCAGTGTGCGGCTCAAGTGCATTTTTAATAAGTCCTGCAACAGGGCTAACTGATGGCATTCCTTATTAGTTTGGAACAAAGCTGAAATCTAAGCCACAATCTATTTCAAAAGTATGTCATTTCAAATTGATGTTTTTTCAACCCCCATCATAATGGCATAGAATTAATTTCCCCCTCCCCAGCCCATACAAAAAATGGCATTTCATGCATATATTATTTAAATTTTGTATGTAAATTAACATTACCTGCTGTCATCAGATTTGGGGAAGTTCTGGGAAAGAGAACTTCTATAAAAAGAACAGCTATAGATATTACGCTGCATAAACCCATCCTAAGGATAGCTTTAAGCCCCGTCTAGATGTCGTAAATAAACCAGCAAGCTCTGAAAACCTCTACTTGAGCTCTCTCTATTCTGCATGACACTGGTTATATCTTCCGAGGCTCTAGGCTAGTCTGGTTCAAGCGCCAGAGGAGAAGCGATTACCGCAGTGACTCCCAGGCCTCCGACCACGCTGGGCGGTGTGACGAGGTAGAGGACGCCTGCGCCCACGATGGCTCCCAGGCACTGGGCGAGGATGTAGAAGACGGACTTGGCGAGGCTGATCTTCCTCGTGCAGACCATTGCCACGGTCACGGCCGGGTTAATGTGGCCTCCGCTGATGTGCCCGAAGCACTGCACCATGGTCGCGATGCTGAGCCCAAAGCAGAGGGAGATAAGGACCATGTCTACAGGCAGGGGCTTCTCGGCTCCCCCCCAGTTGATTGTGGAGCCGAGGCTGAGGAGCACAAAAATGAGCGTGGCCAAAAATTCTGCTGAAACAGCTTTCCAGAAGGGCTGAGTCCAGACTCCTTTAAATGCCACCATGATGCTCTCGCACCGACACAGGCGTCCACACTTACTGAAAAAGGGAAACAAAGCTTCATCAGAAGTCACCCAACAAGCCTTATGCTCTCCTGTTAGGGGGCTGCTACCCAGAATCTTTGGAGGGAAGGCGGCACGGCTGAGTATCCTCGGGCTGGGACAACCACAGGCTGCCCTCTCAGAGCAAACTGCCCTTCAAACACGACCGCTGTTGGAGCGTCTGCAGGACACAGGGTCATTAATCACCCCTCGCGATAAGTCTGTCTGTATAGCTTCAGTTCACAACAAGCAACCTCTGTATCTTTTGAAATAGGCAAGGACGAAAGTTCTTCTACGCCAGCTGACCTTGCCTGACTGAGCCTGTACAGCCCTACTGCGTCCAGTGGCCTGTTGACCACTGTGCCCGTTAAATCAGTGGGTATCCTCTTTTCCTAAGCAAAGCTGTACTTTTCAAAAAGCAGGTGCGGTAATTCAATGAAAAGCGGTATCTTAGTCAAACCTTAATGGCTTTGATAACAGTGCAGTGTCGGGAGGTTGCCCACCGAGCTATAAGAGAAAGTCTATTTGAACACTCACACAGACCAGTATTTCAATTTATATTTATGCACAGAGCAGTTTCCTCACTGTGGATGTGGAGTAAAAATTGAATTCAGCCAATGCAATCCCAAATTCTGACCTTTAAATCAATCATGCAATCAATAAAGTGCTTTCTTTTGGGCTAAGGGTGCCGAGCGAGCTGTGGAATAGAGCAATACTTTCTGTATATGTGGTGTGGAGAACTCCATGTGGCAAAGAAAGAAGTGTCTTGATTTTCCTGTCTGTCTGGAGATGCTATTTATTAGTCTACACTGCCTTCCTGATGAGTTACAATTTTGCTAGATGTTCAGATACCTATGAAAGTGGGTCACCAAAGAAAAGTTATTTGTGGTATTAATAAATTAGGAGAATAAGCCAAAAGGGAAGCATTTTAATGAGTTTCTAAGGAATGCTAACAAGATTCTTCTCTAGAAACAAAAGCAGAAAACCTGCAACCCCTCCAAAAAGTAGAAAACAAAAGAAAGAATATTCAGCTGCTACATTTGGGACCAGAATTTCAAGTGGAAGATGGATGAAGTTTTGCTCAGCTATCTAAGGTAACTGAGCTACGATGCATATTTAAAACCACTTAGAACAGAAAGAAGCATAAAAGCCATGCCTGCCCTTTTCAAGTTACTGCAAGAGGAATGGCACACGAATTTCGTAACAGTTGCAGTGGGTTAGGGAAAGGCAATTTAATCCTATGACTGGAGCAAATAATTTGTTTCCCTGTCTCATTTCTTAGGCTGATTTACTGGGTGTTTTGGACAGGTCACTTGAACTCTATCTCGGTTCTCTAGACACGCAGATGAGAACAAGAATTACGTTATCTCCTGCAAACGGCTGTTGTACAGTGCCTGTGAAGTGATCCGAGAGACTTGAGCTCGACTTGCTCTGGTAGAGAAGAATTGAAGCCAGAACCTCAAAAGAGAATAAAGTCATCCCCCAAATCTTCTGATTTTGGGTCAAACTCGAGACAAACAGAAAGATGTTTTTGTAAGATCTCTTATTAACAGCCAGTTAATGACCAACTATCTAGACTAGACTTTTTGTTCAAAAGGGCTCCAAAACCATCGCCTCCCCCAGTGCTGAAGCTCCCAGGTATCTGGTCGTCCTTACCTTTGAACCCTACGCCCAGAGCCCAGATCCTTCCTGAAACCTCAACGCTTGCCTCTGACACCCTTACTACTCCCTCAGTGAGAATTCATTTTAGCCGCCTGAGTAAGGCAGAGGTGTTACACCCGTCCTGAGGAAAGCTCTTTTTCCCAGGGCATGTCCCAGGTGAACATTTCTCATAGGGATGAAGCGTACCCTGAAGCCCATGGACAAGAGACCTGGATGCGCAGGATGCCTGTCTGCCACTTACGAAGGGCAGATCTCATACTGCTTCTCCAGCTGAGACCACATCCAACCAATTCAATCTATACTATTTACTGCCCTGAAAATGCTAAAATGCTGCGTGCAAGCCAAAAGCATGACGCGAACGCAGAAGCTTCCTCATCGACATAAAGAAAGTTTCTGTTCTTCTAGAACAGCACGGAAAGTTTACACGGCAAAAAATCAAAATGGTAGAACTGCTCTGTCAGCCATACTTCGACAGTTACTGAGCTAAACATCTACTTTTAACGCATACATGTTTTTCTGAAGCAGTCTGGTTTTCTATGTTTTCAACATCCAGGAAAACGCCCAGCTGTCACAGCCAAATTTTTCTTTCACACTGCACACCTTTCTTCCCCCCAGCAAAACCCCCTACAAACGTTAATAAAAGCTTAATACTGCGTTTGAGCCCTGAGTCCAGCTTTTCACTTAAATCCAAAGGCTGTCAGCAGCTTCGAAATCAACACCATCTCCAACATCCACTACACTTTGGGCACACAGTTAATTTAAAGGCTTGAGATGAGACAGAGCGATCGATGGCTGTGCCGGGTCTGAAACCAAAACGGGACATTCCAGCAGCTGAGATTTGCCATCAAAGCTGCAAAGCAATTTTTTTGGAGTGGTTGTTGTTCACGGTTTCCTTAGATAAATACAAAATACAACAGGGAAACAGAGAGACACTTTGATGTTATGGTCACACATTAATGGCGTGTGTGGCCACACTCGAACTTCTCCGGTGTGGACTACGAGATGACACAGGGGACTGGGTCTGACGGGGTGCAAGGTGGGTTTCCACAGGTCGTGTTGCCACCAGAGCCGCAGGCACGATGACGGCTTCCGAGCCGTAACGGTATCAATAACGACAAAGGCTTCAGTACAAAACCCAAAGGGTATTTCTAACCAAATGCATTTCTAAAGTTCTTCCTTTTCTAACTACCACCACTCCAAGGAGCCGGGCGACCCGCCGGGATGCACAGAGGTTTTGGGGCATCTTCAGGGGCATCTCTGTGGCAAACGCCCTCCCCAGCCTGCG